AAGCCGTCGACCACACCGACTACGGCACAGCCTCTGGCAGCGCCCGGGCTTCGCCCAGCACCACTCGCAACAGCTCTCGCGCGCCGCCGTCTGTCTGTGACGATGCGCAAAACATCAACAACGCTGCTCGCAACATGCGTGTCGCGCACTCATTCATGACTGGTCTCAATGTCCCACCGCCCTGCGCGCGGGCCTTCTAGGCCCGCGGGTAGTCTCCCCCCATCCCCAGGGCCTCCAGGGCTCGCACCTCAACCTCTCTCACAGACCAGCGCACAGCGGTCAGCGCCATAAGGAGGTATTTTCTTCTCAATAACAAGGCTGACAGAGTTCGACACCGAGCAGCTGGCTCCGCGAGACCGAGGCCCCTCGAGGTTCACAGCGGGTCGGCTGGGCCCCCCCCCCATACCACTCTCACAGCACAAAGAAAAACGACGCAATGAGCAGTCGAACCGTATGGCAAGGCCAAGCTGCTCGACTTGAGGGGACGAGGCCAGCATTAGCAGTAGTGTCGCTAGCTAGCGGTGGGATATGCACGCGCCAACGCCCGTCCAGGACGGACGGAGGCGTTAGGACAACGCAACCCTAACCCGTAGCCAAATTGGCACTCGGGCGTGTGCGCGCGTAGACACTACTCCTTGCTGTGTGTCCCTACGGCATATTAAGATGCCGATAAATGCCTCAAGAGCCGAGTGTGGGCCGGAAAGCCCAGCACTCTCTCGCCAGGAAGCATCGCAACACAAAGAGCTACTCGGGTCGGAGCGTAGCGGAGTGGGCCCCGAGTTTGAAAAGGGTTGCGTCCTAGCCTCCAACAAAGCCTCCCCGGCCCCGGAGGGATGCTCAACCGCTCCACGCCACGCCGCTTGCGGCGGTCCGCTTCCCAGCTCCGCGGTTCAAATTCTTCGCGATGGCGTCCGCGGCAAAGCTCGCTGAGCTTGCGCTCCACACCGCAGAGCAGTCGGAGGAGGAGCTGCTGCTCTCACAGGAGCGGCTAGATGACATGCGCATATCGCGCGGCGCGTACGTTGAGGTACGCGCTGTAAGCGACGCAGGCATCTCGCCGCCGGCCGGCTCACCCTCTGGCAGCGCGTCTCCATCGTCGTCGTCGCCGACGGGTCCGGCGACGGCCGCGGCGACTGGCGGCGCCGAGGATCGCGGCGCTCTCGTTTTACGCGTCGGCTCTGCGGCGCCCGGCAAGGGCTCCCAGGGCGTCTCGCTCCTCGCGGCAACGGCGTCGCTCTTTGGCCTCTCTTCGCGGCAGAGTGTCGAGGTCATTGTGGTGCCGGCGGCGGCGGCGGAGCTCGAG